CTTTAGTTCGCAGATATTTGCATTTGTGTACATATGCATATATGCTCAAGATTGAATCCTTGTTTCTTTGTATATATTAAGTAGAAATGTTTGTCACTAAGAAACTTAATACACATTAAACTACTAATTCAGTAATTTTTATAATGTTATATGATCAATCGATCCTTCCGTACTCGAAATTATTCGAACCTTAAATTTATTTATTATACAATATACATATTGTGAAGTTTTTGACAAAATTATTTCGAGTCCTCCACCTACGAATATCCGTTACTTTGTTCTAAACTTTTATATTTTAGTTGTATAGTATATATCAAATACGTAACGGAAATGATAAGATTTTTCCGCTATGTTTAATCAGCCATACTTTTTAAAATTTTTTTTTTTTTTTATGATCTAGACTTCCAAAGCCTACATGCGATTTTTTGGCAATATTATAATGATATGATTTTGTGAATTATTTTTACCATCTAAAGAATCCATAGAAAGACCTTTTATATTACCATGCAATATTGAGCCAATATAATTATTATTAATTATACTTTTGATAAACGCCAATTATTCGGATAATTTGATAATAGATAACTATGATATAGCGACAAATAATTCCCTTTCACGCCAAACCAAAAAAGCGATAACATATGTAACATGGAAATCAAAATAATTGTTTAAGAATACGAGACTTAATGAGAAATCAAGAATTTTTGTATTACGGATGTACCATGCAATAGGTCACATTGTATCGTAGGTCACATTGTAGCATTAGCAATAACAAATACCAATATAATCTTAAATGATAAATTGTGGTATTGTGATTCAGTAACAATAAACGAAAAATATCATTGAGACACGTCAATTATATAAAATTATATAAAATTAGTTAAAATTAGAAAAATTATATAAGGTGATTGATGTAGAAAAAAATTTAATCCGATCATTAATTCGATCATTTTAATGGCACCCTATTTACCTTTACCTAATGAATGTCTTCAAGAAATATTTAATAATCTTGTAGATGATTTTCAAACGTTACATTCTATTATATTGGTAAATAAAACATGGTACGCGAATGGAGTAAGAGTTTTATGGAGAAAACCATTTTCTTATGATAATGAATGGAATAATTTATATAAAATAATTCCTATATATTTATCATTTTTATCTGAAGAAACAAAATTCAAACACGGAATTCAGGAAATTTCAATTCCAACTATACCATTTATTGATTATGTATCATACATACGCGAATTAGATTTGTATAGTTTGCTTTTGCAATTATGTGAATGGATGGTAAAGAGTAAGTTTATAAATACGAGACCTCGAATATTAACAGAAACTGATGATTTTGATGATGAAGATCCTATTATAAGGTTAATTTGTCAAGATATGACTGAAAAAATTTCATTAAAACGTACAATGTATATTATTAAAGAGATTATTATGATCATTGTTGAAAGATCAACCAGGATTGATTACCTTGAGATAACGATGGGAAATATGGATGGTATCGTTTTTGATTATCTTGATTCTGAATATTTTGTAGATATATTTAATGCTATTCCACCAAATTGGTTTGCAAATATTTCAAAACTTGAATATGATGGACGACATTTACTTGAAAGATTTACGGAACATGCACCTAACATTAAAAGTTTATCCTTTGGATTTCATACTTTTACTCAAAAGTTGATTTCTAAAATTTCTTCATTGATCTCATTTCAGAATAATTTAGTGGATTTAGATATATATTTAGGTTATAACGAAGATTATATCGAAAGTGAGATTAATATTTCTGATATTTCAGAAGTAATATTAACATTGATAGAAAAAGTTCATTCGTTAAAATCATTATCATTAGCATCTGGTGGTAATGGTATAGTACAAGATTTTAAAGAATTAGAAATGTTGT